ACCAGGTCTCCGAAGGCCTAGCAGCAAAAACCATTGTCATATTCGGAATCAGCATAGTCGATAACCTATTCTCCACTAGGTTTCAAGAAAAAAGCGAGCGGACACTTGGGGCAGTTCCCTCGTAAGATTCGATTTCTCTGCATTAAACCATCATCTAAAGCAGCATAAACTTGTCTCCGAAAGTCTTTGCGAAAACTGCTTAGTTTTATCACCCTCCGTTCAAGTAGTTGAGGACACGAAACACTTTTTCCTTAAATGTCCTCATTATAATCATGCACGAAATATTTTATTCTCAAAATTCTATAATGCGGGCATCAAACTAGACTTGGATACTATTCTCTTGAATGGTATTTCAAATAATAAGACATTTCTCTTTGTTTATGACTGTATATGTGATTTTATCTCGGGTACTAAACGCTTTTAATGTGTCTTACCTGATTTGCTGTATTTTGATTCCGAAGCTGATGCATTCCTATCTCACGTCTGTACGAATTAATTAGAAGCCGTCTCTCTGTCTTTGTCCGCAGGGTCATCTGATCACCACCACTACTCTAGTCTTCAACGTCTCTTATCATATTCTCTTCCTTAATCATATTCCTCTGCAACTGACGATCAATCTTTTTCTTCCTCTCTCCAATTCTTCTTTCATTTTTGTATGTCTCTTTGTTAACTTTTCTACTCATCCGCTCATTAAGACTCTTTTGGAAATTGATACAATGTGATCCACTGAATCGCGATTTCGATCTGTATTAAGATGTTATTTTTCAAATAAAGTTTATATCAACTAAAATAGTATATCTGTGTTCTTCCTTGCTATTTAACTACCTCTGTTCTTGTTGTTATTTACTCATTTACTTTTACTCTCGTCGCCTGTATTAAAAGTATCTCATATGATGATGTGCGAATCATTTACTTTATGTTTCTTTTTTCTCTGTATTTATTTGTTTACTTACTTTTTTGTTTCTTCTCTTATGTGTCAACCTCATTAAATAAGGACGATAGACTTCAATGTTAAAAACAGAGAAATTTAATAAAATGGTGACGTTAATTGATACAATAGAATGTGTATTTAGCGAGGTGACGATTGTGACAGATATAGGATAAAATGTTCAAGACTTGATTACAATTACACCATCCTACTCCATTTCTAACTGTAAATAGAATAATTTACATGCATGTTTCTTCTCGTGTATCTAATGAGATATGATAGCAATTAATAAAAGATAATATATAATAAAATAAAAACACAGCATAGAGAAGGAGAGCTTTTGAAAGAAATCCGAATGAGAACTATTTCCACTATGAACATAAAATATATACGTTCTTCTTATGATCGATCTATTACATTTGAAATAGTTTAATTCACTAATGCATAATTACTGAAAATATTTTAATGTACTCAATTATGTTGTATTTAAAGAATAAAAATATGACTGGGAGACATCTGTGCAGTTACTGTTGATCAGGAGTCTTCTTGTACACGGCTTTAAAACTACCAATGCCGCTGAAAATGTCGATGTTTACTATATAGTTGACAATCTCTTACAGGCATAAAACGTCATATTCCGAAGTATACGAGACTTCTTTTTTCTAGAAGAAATATTGCAGGCAGGTAGTCTAAACAAACATGACAATAATTTTGCAGAGTACAAGAGAGAATGTCTTGAGCCTTATGGCTTTTCATCTTCCGATTGCTAAGCGTAACAATTAAATTCTACCAGTATTTTCCTTTCTTTCCACTAGATCTATTTGTTCACTTTATTTTGGAAACGATGGTACATGCGACACTGAGCCTGCCTTACGGCTTGCCCAACTGACGGTTCCCTTTTTTCGCTCTTTTTCAAAAAAATTATTTCAATAAAGCTACAAATTAATCTAAAACTGCAAATAGATAATCAAGTAGATTGAACATTTCTCTATAAAATGAAACGTGTCTGAGCTCTGAACGTTGATTCGTTATGAAACTACAGGTATTGTACAACCAACCCAAAAGATCAATTTTGTGGCTATTTGAAAAATATGTCTAAAAGAGTGAAGACAAGCTGGTGAACATTGAACAAGTATACCAGTTTGTAGAAAATTGTTCGCTCTACAAGATGTGATAGCTTGTCAAGTTCGAAACTATTCTAATTAATCTGTATTAATCAAGTAAAAAACAGAAAAACGCTTTGACGAATTTTGACCATTTTTTGTCACAGCGTTACTCTTTTTCTGTTTTTTACTTGATTAATACAGATTAATTAGAATAGTTTCGAACTTAACAAGCTATCACATCTTGTAGAGTGAACAATTTTCTATAAACTGGTATACTTGTTCACTTTTCACCAGCTCGTCTTCACTCTTTTAGACATATTTTTCAAATTGATCAAAATTGATCTTTTGGGTTGGTTGTATAATACCTGTAGTTTCATAACGAATCAACGTTCAGAGCTCAGACACGTTTCATTTATAGAGAAATGTTCAATGTACTTAATTATCTATTTGCAATTTTAGATTAATTTGTAGCTTTATTGCAATAATTTTTTTGAAAAAAAGTGAGAAAAGGGAACCGTTAGTTGGACAAGCCGTACTTAGATGAATAGAGGTGGAATTATAGTACAGACCCTCCGCCCTCTGCATTTTTCTCTGCGAAAGGACTCTGTTCCTGGCTAGCTTTTGTAGCGAGACCGGTGGCTGATGATTAAGAACGATATAGATCTTGTCAGAAACTCGTCAACTGTAGGAAAGACATCAGGCTATTGAAAGTGACACTTGTCAGTATTCTGCATCGATTATGATTGACGGTAGTTATATGAATTGCTTAATAGCTTTCTTTCTCTAATTTACCGCATTTTCTTTATAAAAATACAATTTCTGCATTAACAACGATTGTTTTGTAAATATTTCTAACTTAAAAGTCATTTAGGATCCAAAAGATTGAATGAAACAAGATCTGTTTGATTCTAGTTTCACTCACTTACTCTATGTTGAACTGCACGCGACTACCTACGGTGAGCATTTGATGGTACGTTCATCGGTGTACTGCTACTGTCTTATTGCGACAAACTGTACTCACTAAACATTATACGGCTATCACACAGACAAAAGCTTTTACCAAGTTATATCTGCTAACTATAGATACTTTAAATAACGAGTCTTATCAAAAGTGTTCTAAATGCGGACATAAGCTAAATACTGAAATTAAAACACATAGTTTTTGATGCATTTTTCAGGATGAAGATTTTTTTGTGCCCAGAATTAAGATAGATTTGTGCGAATACATAAATCGATTTAGAATAGAATTGATCGACAAATAGATTTGTCGAGAAAATTTAATAGTAGAACTAGAGATGAACATAAGTTATGCTGACAGATATTGCTTGTGACATACGTGTATATGTCTGTAACATGGGTATATAAGCATGCTATTAGTTTAATGATGCATTTTGGTTATTATATTATAAAAGGTCCAGAAAAATTACAAAATTTCCAGAAGCGATGCGGAAGACGAAGAAAAGTAGGAAATGCATTGTTTGGTGTTTAGCTGTTCTACTTACATATTCTCTCTATTCTTTCTATATCTGCCACTGTATCAGTATATAAATGGTGAAAATAAGCTGATATCTTTCTCATTATTATTCCAAATCTAATTAAAATCGGACACAAATCAATTAAATTCGAGCACATATCTATCTCCGAGCACAAAAGTGTAAAAAGATTTTTTTGTATCCGGACCGGACATCAAAAATCTTAACGGGCACAAATCTCTCTTAGTTCCGGGCACAAACAGACTTTAAGCCAATTTTTTCATTCTATTATAATAATACACTATGCTAATGGTTGCTACAACAGAAACATTAGATATATGACCTCTTTTTTTACGAGGATTGTCTAGATAGGAATGTAAGATTTTAAAAATTCAAGTGTCTTTTGAAGAAAATAGAAATTAAAAAAATGAACTCAGGATAGTTAAATATCTTAACAAGCTACAAAACACTATTTTCAAAAAATAGCCTGTTCTGTTTTTTGAGACAAGCATTTGACGGTAACTGACACATCCAGTTAGTGAATTTTCTAGTTGATGTCAACTATATATGAAACGAGGGCGGTGTAGGCAGGAAAAACTTTCTTTCCACTAAATCAATTCATTTTGGTACTCTCTATGTTACTTCTACATTCTAATTTTATTCAGCTCATACAATAATTTTACACACACACACACACTCACACTAAAAGTTGCAACTAACATGTTTACTACCACCATCATCTTCATTTTACTAACATTTACTGGGATCATTCATTCAAGATCTTCAAGGGATAGTGATAAAATAAATATTAAAGATGGAATTGAATATGAAATTAAAGAAACTGGTACCACATATAAACAATATGAAACTTCTGATTCCAAATGCAAAATTGAATATGATGGTAAAATGTATAAAGAAGATGATACATTGACAATCAAAGGAAAATATTATAAAGTAGAAGAATGTCATTTGATTCGTGCCTATCATGCTTGTGGTCCAAATGTTTTATTCATGTTTAAAATCGTTTGTAGATTAGTTGAACAATACACTTCTAATCGGCGTCGTCGTGCAATTTATCATTATGGTCCAAAAGTTATAACACAAGCATGTTGTGAAAATGTATGTACAATAGCGGAAATGACAAGATATTGCTTAAGATCATGATAGGCAGTCCGTATAGGTGAGACGTTTGTGTTTATTGAAAACTTTGAATGATTAAAAACTCAAAATGTTAAGCAATACAATTATAATAGAAGACAGGATTCGAGAACATGAGTTTTATACACTTTGTACAAGTTTTTTGTAAATTGAATAGAAATTATCAAACTTTAACTGGTGACGGAGTTTCTTTCAGGAAGGTTTTGAACAATATTTTTCTGACAAACAAGCTAAACAACAACTGTATTTAAGGGTACAATCCTACCCATTTTTTATCACAGAAAAACATTAAATACATATTTTTTTACAGAAAAAAATATAGTTTAGGCTACCTTCTTTCATGCAGATACAAAATGAAATAAGAGATAAGAGCCGGTCTCATCTTCTCTAGTAAGATGTTTATGAATTTTTTAACAAGATCCTAACCATATCCTACCAGAATTCTAAGATTCTAACAAAATTTTATACTCTTAATGACTACGATCCTTCACATTGTGCACAAGACTATAGAAGAAGTTTCGCTCACATCTATCGACATTTATTTACAATTCAAATAGAACCATGAGAAAAATTCGAGGCGTTCTATTTTGTTTATTTGTGCAGTTCTAGACCGTACCAAAGGTAGCCCTAATAGCCATCATCATAGGTACCATTGCTAATGATATAACTGTATTTGAAACTAATTTACTTTGTTTATTACACAAAAAATATAAATTAATTAATAACAAAGCAGTTGATAATATTTGATCGAAAAGTAACGTGTGTTGACGAAGATGTTACAGAGGCAATAGTACTTGTTTAACCAAATATGCTGTTACTGTTACATTGGCTCCAATGACCTAGAAAAACATATGAAATAGATGGTGACTAGAAACACTTTGTATACAGTATAGAAATTACATATGATGCTGAAACAGAAGATGTGTGATTCTCTTTAGCAAGGTATTTCTAATATCTGTATCTCAAAAAGTTCGAAGCCACTTTTAACTCACTCTATCCAACTATGGAGAAACGGACTTAACCGTGTGTATTTTCAGAATATTTGATGAGAAAGCCAACTTATGGCTATAAATAATATTTTAACAGCAGCTGTGTGTATATTCATTTAAATTTGTATTTATTCTGATGTTTCAAAACTTTATTTTAATTTTCGAGAATACAAGAATAGAATAGTATACAAATAAATTATTATAAATACCAACAGCAACATAATTTTTTTGTTAAGAGTGATATGAAGGAAGGAGAAGGAAGAAGAAAAAACATGATTAATATTGCTGTCTCTTTCAAAACAGAAGGAGAAAGTTCTTCTTTTGTACATCAAAGAGAACATATTCAGCATAACCCAAGCAGACACCAAAAATGGTGCGATGAATAATCTGACTAGTCAAAATTGTCGCAGTTAGTGTCAACTAGCCGAATGTTTGAAGTCCGACTAGGGACCCATTGGAAAATGGCGCGTCGACTAGTCTTTTTACTAGTCGAACGTCTGCATGGGAATTGTATTTTACCGCGCGATTTATTTGACTCAAAAGAACAGACACTAGATATCTCGGTAACCGTTCTCGATATTGGTACCGAATGTATTGTACAATTACGGGAAGGCTTATAAGAAGCTTTTTCCTCAGAAAAATTGAGGTGCATGTGCTTACATATGCTCGATTGTAGTTTTTTCTAGCAAAATATGAAATGTTGTCAGAATAATAGTGAAATTAATAGACAAACAGATATAAAATTATAGAAACAAAATAAATCTTTTTTACAGAGATAGAGCGCACTGGCTAAAAATTATTTTTTGCATGCATACTCTCTCGTACCTCTTTTTTATACTATTATATTGATTCTTTATCAGTACAAAATCATTTTAGCATATTCGAATTTAATCAAACACTCTCATCGCGGAAGGACACGCAAACTCTATTATACAAGTATTTTGTTAAGATCTTACTAAGAATTAACATATTTTTTAATAACATTGTTTCATGATTTACTAAAAACTTTTAAATATCTAATTTAAGTGCTGATAAATTGCTACTATAGAGCTGAGTTTTGATTTGAGTCTGCTGTACTACATAGTCAAAAACTTCAGCCGAACAGAACAGACGAAAGAAAAGAAATTTCATACTTTTAAATGTTCATTCTTTTATACGCTGATTTACGGGTATTTCTAAAAGACACGAACACCCACGAATACTCCCAAATTAAAATCATCATCTCCAGGTTGTTCTGAACACACCAGTACCTAACCCACACCTCATCCTCAGCCTACCAGTAGGCTCAGAACAACCTGCAGATGAATTTGACACACTTTTTTGGGTGTTCTTACCCTTTTTTCTGGGTGTTTCAGGGTGTTCATTGAAAATGTATGCTTAACCCTTTACACCCCATAGCGGTTCCAGAAGAGCCACTGATAGAAACACCAAAGAAATAGAGTATTGGCTTCTACAATATGCCAATGGTATGGGCAGATCGATCAGGCGCACTACCTTTTGTGCAGGGTAATTTGATAACTACAGTGACCATTGAGGCAGAGAAGGGGATGGAACGACTTCAAAAGCCCTACTTCTT